TATACTGGAATTAGAATAATCATTTAAAAAAATAAAAATTATTACATATTGAAATTAGAACAATTGCTTTGGAAAAAAAAGGTATTATATAATGGAATTAGAATAATTGTTTCTTTTAAAAAAAGATAAAATGTATTGGAATTAGAATAATCATTTGAAAATGTATTATATATTGGAATTAAAATAACAGTTTGAAAAAAATAGAAAATGCAAATCTAAATTAAGTGAATTTTCGAAATTTAACTGCAAAAATTTTTTCGTAATATATTTTATTTAAAATTATTTCCAATTTTTTGTTCTTCTTAGTAATTTGTTAAGGACAAAAAAAAAAAATTTATAATATGAAATTTTAGGAAGCAAAAGAACTTTGATATTTAAATTTTTGCTACAAAATACTTTTATTTAGTAAAATAAGTATTGATGCTAGCAAATAATTTCATTTCGTATAATTGCAAACTTGTCCTTCGATTTAAACTTCAAAAATTTACTTTATAAATTTCACATACAAAAAAACGGTATGCTATTATATGAGAAGAAATTAGCCTAAATTTAAAACCAAAATTTTTTTTAGCCTAAATTAGCCGAAATTTTTCAAATGTAATTTTCCTTGCTTTTTTTTTTCTTAACTGTTTGGAGAAAAGATACCTGAATTATTCAAATTATTTGCTTGAAAAGACTTCAAATTCCATTGATAATGCACAAATATCACCATAACTGTACAAAGTACAAAGATTAGTTATGGTGATATTTCTAAAATTATATATTTTTATAGAAACAAAAAAAAGGTACAATTTAAAAATGAAAGGAAAAAATTTCTTTCATATTAAACAAAAGAAAAAGAGAGGTAGAAAAGGGTCATTTATATGTCCTTGAACGAATATAAATTGATTTGTTTTTTAATTTTTTAATTAAAATTAAAATTTTACTTCAGCAAAAACTATTGAAATAATCTCTTTTTTTTGAAATATTCCATTTTTTTAATCGATAAATTCATTTCAATTTTTAATCAAAAAAATTCAATTATTTTTGAATCGATAAATTCAATCCATTTTTAATCGATTAATTCATTTCATTTGTAATTGAGAAATTCTTCCATTTATAATCGATAAATTCATTTACTTTTAATCGAATAAACTTTTTAATTTTTTCTTCTTTTCATTTAAAAAAATATGGGAAATATTAAAGGAAATATTTTTGCAAATGTGAGAAAAATAAGTACTATTTGATATTCCGATCGAAGAGGGCGCGCCAATTCGAATGAATAATTAATTTGAAATATTTTGAGTTTAAACTAATATTGTTTAAACATTATTGTGGGGGGGGGGGGGAGGGGAAAGAGAGAAAAATAGGAATTTTTTATTAAATTCATTCTTTCACAAAATTCATTCTTTTCTAAAATATTTCATAAAAAGTTGCAAAATATTGAGATAAAAGAAAAAGTTAAACAATGAAAAGCATATTATTAATTACTAATATTTAGTAATCTATTATTATTGATTGCTAATATTCAATTATCTGTTATTGTTGATTATTAATATTATTAAATGCTAACATATTATTAATTACTATATTGGGAAAAATTAATTAATTACTATGTTATTGATAAATAATTATTAATTATTGATTATTAATTACTACATTATTAATAATTAATATTAATTATCTGTTTACTATGTTATTAATCACTGATATATAATTATCTGTTTATTTTTTTACAATAAGTGAATTTAATTAATTGATGGGAAGGCATAAATACGTAGTGTAAGAAAGTGCAGTCAAATAAATCAGTTATAAATTAGTTTAAAATAAAAATAATTTTTTATATAAATGAAGAAATGAAATAAAGGAGGAAGAAATAATGAAAGAAAAATAGGAAGAAGAAGGAAAAAAAAAAGTAATAAAATAAAGTAAT